GAGAGCGATAGAGAGAGTGAGAGAGCGAGAGAGAGAGTGAAAGAGCGAGAGGGAGAGATTGAGAGGGATAGTGAGAGGGCGAGAGAGATAGTGAGAGAGAGTGAGAGTGCGAGAGAGAGAGTGACAGAGCGAGGGAGTAAGAGAGAGAGAGAGAGTGAGAGAGAGAGAGAGTGAGAGAGAGAGAGAGAGAGAGAGTGACAGAGCGAGGGAGTGAGAGAGAGAGAGAGAGAGAGTGAGAGAGCGAGAGAGAGCGAAACTCGCGTCAGTCGGCAAAAAAAGGCAGCGTATTCATTTCATGTGCCACTGTTGACTTTTTCACGAGTCTAATTCGTCATGTGCTGTTTTCGACGGAAGTATATTATTGTGGAGTATATTATTAGATTACTCAGTTGCGTCACTCGTGCGTCGTTCCTGTTTTGTTTACAATGTTCAAGATGTACCCCACCCTTCCTCCTTCTCGACAGTACCAATAACAAAGTCGTACCCACAAATCAGCAATCCAAATTGGAAATAAAACTTTCTCTTTCTCAGCTTGCACGTAATAGTTCAGTCGAGTCAAATTAAATAGTATTTTTCGGACGCATCAAATTTCGTTTTATTTGTACGTCAAGGCGTTAATATGAATACATAGTGATGCAGGAATAAAAAAACAATGACTCAATCTTCTTATTCCTAATTTTGTATACATGAAAATTTTGTTAACATATTGGTCGAAGTTTTTCAGTTCAAATGGTAATTTAAAACACGTCATGCTTTAGATCATTTGTACTCATTATACGTAGCAAGTAATTTATTTCACTTATGAACAAAGCATTTGAAAAACCGATTCTTGAGATACGAGTTTTAAATGTAACGCCAAAGAAGGTACGCATTTCTTTCGAAAGAAAATACCAGTGGAGTTATGCTATTCGGGCCTACGTTCGACTGACATTCGGAGAAGAGATGCCTCAATTCGACAATATTCGGAGAATAGATGCCTCAATGCGACGACATTCGGAGGGCAGTTGTCACGATTCGACGGTCACGTACCTAATTCATTCTCCCTAATCGACGCTCAGCTTGTACATAAAAATGGACAATTTGGCAAGAGGAGATACGAATTATTCAAGCCTTATAGCTCGTTTTTATAGTTGTGACTAATATATCATTTAACCAACAACTATAAAAACGAAGAATCTTCGCATCGGCGTAGCAAGAAGATCACATGTGCGTAACAATAGCACCGCGACATTCACGGTACAGCCAGATTGTGACACTCGTGGAGAAATTACTGTACCCGATAGCTCCGCTTGCTTAATGGGAGATTTCGGGCTAGAATCTCGAATAGAAAGGTGTCGAGAGGATTATTTGAAATAAAAGGGTGTAGAATGAGACACACGTAAATAACTATATTTAAGAAAGAAGTGAGGGAGACACGGCGAACAAGCGCACAGTATGAGAGTACGGAAGAACCTGAGAGGCCTGGGCGACAATGCGTGTTTTTATACCTGTGTACTCTCAGGTATATGGAAAGCCTGCATTTCAGGATGCGGAGGCTTTCCAATACTCAAGAAATTACTTCTTGCTTCAACAAAAGGAAACTGCGAACTTGGAATAATTGACGCACCTTTCCAAAGGCCTCGGGTCCCTTCCTCGGCAGCGATATTCTTGTACGCCTGCAGGGTCGAGCTGTACCTCACCGCTGATCGTCCGTTGCTACCAGCCTGCAGACGGACCTTGACGACATCGGTCGGCTGAGCAAAAAGCACCGCCATTGCGCCGGTTGTGATCCCGGCGGCGATTCGTACGGAAACGTTCTTCGATCCGCTCCTGTTATTACCTGTTGAGAGAAAAGTCCACGATGAAAACAGACCCGATTAGCCCGAGTTTATCTTTCTTTTTTCTTTTTATTCTTTTTTTTTCGAGATCGAAGTACGGTCTTTTCGATAGATCTTTAAGTCTCTTATTTTTTTTTTTTTCGTTCTTTCGATAATCGTACAATATACGTGGGATGCGGGATGGAACATAAGATCGCGCAGTGCGCGGTTAATCACGTTTTATTAGCTCATTGATTACCTTACCGATTACAATGAACGGTGTGTGCGTCTCGAGAGGACACACACACACACTTCGGGAGAGCACAATCGACATCGCGTAAAGTGAACGTGATCGAGATCCACGGGAAACGAGTCTGCTAATAGCGTTCTCGATCGTAACGATCGATTCTCGGATCTGATTCTTAGAAATCGAAAGGGTGCGCTCCCGTTCCCGTGGATCTCGCGTGCGTTCACGGAACCCGAGATAGAAGCGTCGTTCGCCGAGGTGGGATCACAATTGTGGAAACGTTCACAGAATGTTGGAGGACCGATGCGTTTCACGGCACGATGAGACTCGCGGCACGATTTCAAGGTTCCGCGTGCGATACTAGACCCGCGAACACGAACTCGTTAATGGCAACACCGGTTAGAGAGAGCCGTTTTAGTACGGGAAGACACGAGAGAACGAGCATGCTCGAATTTCTAAGGCACCGGAAATCGTGACAACCGTTGGTTAGGCGCACGAGATCGCGGCGGAGAGGGTGCCTCGCGCCTCGTCGAATCGATCGAATCCTGCGAGACTCGAAGAAAACGCGATTCTCCGCTGTTACCGATCTCCACGGGACTCGACCGAGGAAATAATACGAAATATCGTTCGACGGAGAAATATTTGACAAGCGAAAACATCGATTCTGAATCCGAGGGAATCCCCGGAAAAACGCGACTCCCGAGAGTCTCTTCGAAATCGGCTGCTTCGACGAATCGCGATCGATTTTGCTCACCCTCTCGCTGCCTTTCTATGTTCGGTCTGCGGAGACGTCTTCTCCGGAAGATGGAGGAAAGAAAAAGAGAAAAAAAAAGAAAAAAAAATAGTACAGAGAAATTAGGGGAACGCGAGCGTAGAACGAACACGGGTGTTCTCGGGGGAAGGGTTGTCTGGAGCTTCTTCTGGAGCCGAGAGATCGGTGGTTGGTTGGTGATCGGTGGGGACCACCAGCCGTTACTTACGCGTCCACGTAATAGGCTTATTCGTGTAACAGAGAGATGGACGTGTGTGGCCGTGTCGCACGCGTGTCTCTACTCGGTTCGATCGTAACAGGAGATTGCGTAATCAAAAAAAGTTAGGAGTTTGTTGGATGTACCGTCGATGATTCCAGCGTAGCGTGACTTCACACCGTCGTAGAGGCCCAACCGTATGCTGGCGAAACACATCTGTCTCTGGAGTCCCGCGGACAGACCTCCGTACAGGCTCCTGTAACCACCCTCGCTCAAGCTCACCGCCCTCACAATTTACCCTCATACGTATCCCAGGGTATATTTTTGTCTTATTTTGTTTTATTTTTTACTTTTTTACTTTTTTTTGTGAATCTTAGTTTCGACATTTCTCTCTCTCTCCCTCTCTTTTTATCTCTCTCTATGTATACCTCTTTCTCTAGTTCGCTCCCCATTCGAATGAATTTTCTACCGGGGCTCGATTGAACATCCTATCACTCTCTCACTATTTCTCACTCTGTCTCTCTCTCTCTCTCTTTCGCTTTTAATACGGTTTTCACATTCGAATGATGAGACTGAACACATGCGAGATTGGTCTTCCTGAGGAGAACGCATACGTGTTTGATCGATAGACTCGTGGATCTTCGCGCGGGCTCGACATCTTGCTGGTTTAACTCTTTGGGGCACGGTTAAAAATTAAAAATGTCCCATCTTTTCGGTGCACGGAAATGCGTGGTGGGACATTTTTAGACCTCGAAGTATTGCAATAGCTATTATTGTATTATATTATTATTATATAGCTATATTATTATTATATTATATTATTATTATTTTTTATGTTTTTATATTATGCGATTCCTTTATCAACACTAGATTTACGGAGCACAAAAAACAGCTGCTTTACATTAGTTTAATGAAAGTAACAATTTATTCTGATTTTTAACAAGTGTTTGCCGTAACGTTTGCATTAACTGATGTACAAATTGAATAAATAACTCATAAATATATATCTTTACGTTATGAATAATCGTAAATTAAAAATTTGGTGACCCATCATTTTGACGGGTTCCGTAAATCCAGTGTTATTAAAAATTCTGTTTAATTTGAAACGCAATGAATTCTGTGCAACATGGGTCTATTTTATCGCCTGAAATCCTGTGCCCCAAAGAGTCAACACGTTGAGCGCGGAGCCAATTTTACTGGGTTCTATTTTTGTAGCCGACATTATTTTTTAACCTTGACACTCTGCCGGCCCCATGCACCGATGCCATCCAAACGACTGGTTCGCTGTCAGTCCCTCGGAACTGACACCGTCCCAAAAAAGTACACTGTCGACCCAAAGGGTCTTAAACGGAAAGTCCACTGTCAGGCCCAGGGGTCTGACGCCGCGCTAAACGTGTTAACCCCTTGCCGTACCATTATCTTCGCGGTAACAATGATTGGAATTTTTCTTTATTTTAATTACTTCTTAGAAGTAATAGAAATAGAAAAAGAAATATAGATTGGAAAAAGATCAGATTAGAATTAGAAAAAGAAATATAATTTATATTTATCGCGTGTTCAGATATTTACATGAACGATTAAATATTGATGATGAGAGAACGGAATTTGATTTCGACTTAAAAGAATGGAATGGAACATTTACTCGTCGATGTACGGCGAGGGAGGAGATAATCCCGCATCATTCCGAGGCCAAGTAGAAATCGACTAGTTCGGTTTAACGCTTTGCCCGCCGATGAAAACGCGATTGTTAGTTAGCGAATGTTATTCGTAAGGCGTCTCGAGCGATTTGTACGCGCGGCCCGATCCGCAGTCTATCGATCAAGGGCGAAGAGAGTCGAATCGAGATTTCCGAAATCATCGGAGGAGCACGAGAGAAAGGAGAACGAATCGTTCGAGTTTGACCGGGAGAGAGCTTGCGACGAGAGAGCTGTTTTGCACGTACGCGCGACTATGGCAGACCGGAGACGTTATTTACGCACGCGGCGGAAGCGCAAACCAAGAAACGAGTCGCGTCGGTTCCGGTTCCGATGCGACCGGTTAATTGGAAAGAAATAAAGTGGGAGCTTGCAGCTGATCGAAGACAAAATAAATAGAGAAAAATAAGCAGAGATCAAGGAGAAACGAAAATCCGGATACGCGGAAGGTTTTTGCTGTCGCGACCTGCTTTTCCCTTGATTCCGTTGATTCACATTTCGGATCGTTACAGTCCCGAAGGAGATCGCGACGAGCAATCGGGAAAGGCAGCTCGCGAGCGAGAGAGAAAAGAAACGATAATGTACAGACGGAACGAGTGCCATAGACGTGTGATCGATCGAACAGCCATCGTCCACGTGGACGATAGGGTGTCGCGCGATGTTCCAGCGATGGGATTAAACGTATCGCGAACTAAAGTAACGCGAATCGATAGTATGCACTTCGGTCACAATAACTCGTTCTTTTTATCGAATTTAATCTTTCGAAGAATGTACGCGCGCGATCTTTATAATTAATATCCAAGCGATCGAGCGTTCTTTGTTCCGGTCGAGTACAGGTAGCGATTCTATAACACGGCATCGTATAACACGGTTTCGCTCTAATACGATACGATAAATTGTATAAAAGAATTATCGCATTATCGTAAAAATACGAGGGGAACCCTCGTATAGCACTGCAACCTGTAACACTGTTTTGCTCTAACTCGATAAGAAAATTGCGGAAGCCTTTGTACGGCGCTGTACTTCTGCAACACCGGATAACATGTTTTTTGTTTAACATATTTCAAAAGTAAATTACCTTAAAATAATGACGGGAAGGAATAACGAACTACAGTTCCTTCACATGAAAATATGATCGTTATAATTAAGCGTATATAAATATATACCCTTGAATATATAAATAAAAAAATATACTCTTAAATATATAAAGAAATCGAAAATTCAAAAGGGATCTGTCAAATCTGCTATCTTTATACCATGAAATCTACAATGACCAGCAAACGAACCAAAATTAGAAATTTTTTTAAAAGATAAAAGGTGCAAAATATCTGAATGAAGAAGAAGGTTCAGAAAGCGAAGGTGATATCGTTCAACCGAAAAAACGTTCTCCTTTGATTGTACCGAATAGTAACGAGGAAGAAATTTATTAAATTAAAGTTACATTAAATGAAAATAATATTTTCTTTTTCCGTTTCGTGTTATGCATACATTTATATTTTTAATAAAAGTAGATTTGTTTACACGGAATTAAAAAGAAAATGTTTGTTTTTAATAAGTTTTCAGTACGTAACGCCCCCTTTTGTACCGACTCTGGGTGTCATATAGCACGTTTTCACGCAACACAGCATTTTCTAGGAATCTATCCACCGTGTTATAGAAGGGTTACCTGTACAATGAAACAAATGACGCTACGAGGATCGATCCCTGCCGTTCTCAACCTGATCCCATCGCAAACGGTGAATTCGACGAACAGTCGATAGCACTTTAATCATCGCCACGAAAGGATAATTGAACGTAAGCATCGTTTAAAGAAGGACAAACCGAGAAGGTAGTTGGCGCGATAGCAAATTATCGGATTTCCGATACCGTGGCTCCGTTACCGCTGATTACGACCGATCGATCCGGTCCCCGTCGTTGTCGATGCTCTCGAAATAGCCGCGCGAATTCCACGATTTGATAGCATCTTACGAACAATTAGCATAACGTTCTTCGTTGCGTGACCAGGCTACCAGCTAGCCGTTCTCCGGCATTTTCCTCGTGGAAACCGTGTGAAACTCGAAATCGTCCAACGTCGCAGTTCGTCCCGTTTTTGCACGCCTAATCGCGATCCATTCGCGTATAATTAGCTCGTTAGTGGGGCATCGACAGCGACGGAAGCCTCGATCGGCTAATCAGCGGGCAACGACGGATCACGGGGAAGAAACTTGCTGAACGAAGGCCGCGGAAAAAGAAGCAGCGTCGCGGAGAGAGTTGTGATTGCGGCCCGATCGCAAGTTCGCGCGATTCTCGTCGCGGGAAAAGAAAAAGCGTGCTGGCCAACGAATAGAAGTCGGCCAGCGCGGCAATTTAAATTGAAACCGAATCATCGACCGGGCTGAGAAAGACTCGCCCCCGGCGTATTGTTTATACAATGCTCATGTAAATAGATATATATGTAAATATTTATATTTGTACTTGTATTTATATCGTTTGTAACACTGATCCGAATCGGTTGAATCGTACGCAACGATCTCTATGTACAATCATGTATATGGTTTACCTACCCCGTGGCTCTCTTAAATTACGTTAAGGATCGTGAACAACGTACCTTGCTCCCTCCATTCTGACGATGTTCCATACTGTCTTCCACAGACCGGGCTGCGTCTGTCTCATCGAGAGCATCGAGCCCTCCGCGGTCGACACCAGAAGAGGACGCGTCTCGCCGGCGATCTAAACAAATTCAAACCCGATCACATTTCGCGCAATCCCGCGCACCGTTCGCAGAAACATCGACAGACCACGATCCTGGATTCGACGAACGCCAAAACTTATTACGCGCGGAAAACCTGGATACCGTCGAGACAGTGAACCAAACTCGTAAGGCAGCGCTCCGGAAGATCGTAGATCTTCGAAACGTCGTAATTTCGTGAACAAAAATCGTACGGCAGGCTACCTTGGCTCGTTAGAAAGCTCGAAGCTTGTACTCGATCGCTTTCCCGTTGAATTTTTCGAGGGATAATTTTGTACTAAGAAACGGAGCGTCGAGCAGTCGGTCCGGCCTTCGTCCCAAGTGCAACGAAAGGATTGCAAAGCGTTTCGCTAACAATTTTTACGGAGCTCTTTGTTGAAAATTCATCGGGGGCTGCGAGAGCAGAGGGTTCGCTGTGCGAGACGAGCCGAGGTACAATAATGTCTCTCTAATCGACGCTCAGATTGTCCACAGAAGTGGACAATTTGGGAAGAGGAGATGCGATTATTCGAGTCTTGCGGTTTATTTCTATAGTAACGAATTGTCAACGATTATAAAAACGAGCCGCAAGGCTCGAATAATTGTGTCTCCTCTTCCCAGATTATCCAATTTAGTGGACAATCTAAGCATCAGTAAGGAAGACATTACTGTACAATAATGTTTCTCTAATTGACGCCCAGATTGACCACAAAAATAAACAATTTGGGAAGCGAAGATACGATTATTGACCACAAAAATGGCCAATTTGGGAAAAGAAGATACGATTATTCGAGCCTTGCGGTTTAGTTTTATAGTTATAAATTGTCTAGAATTATATAAAAACGAGCTGCAAGATTCGAATAATCGTGACTCCTCTTCCCAAATTGTCAATCTGAGCGTCAATTAGAGAGACATTATTGTACAGTAATGTCTCCCCTACTGACGCTCAGATTGTGCACAAAAATGGACAATTTGGGAAGAGAAGATACGATTATTCGAGCCTTGCGGTTTATTTATGTAGTTATAAATTGTCCACAATTATAAAAATGAGCCGCGAGGCTCGAATAATCGTATCTCCTTCTCCCAAATTATCCAATTTAGTAGACAATCTGTGCGTCAGTAAGGGAGACATTACTGTAGATCGTGCCGCGATTATTCATCGGGAGATGACAGCGGTTCGAAGATCGACGCGATCGTACGGTATGGATTTCGTGGCGATCGAGATTACCTGCATCCTGACTTTGGCCGTGTCCAACGGGAACGTCATCAAATCAGCGATGCAGGCCGCGGTGCCCGCGGTGAAGAACTTCACCCACAGGGGGAAGTCGTTCTGCGCGTTTTGCTTCATCGTGCTCATATCCTTCTCGTTTCTCCCTCTTCCGCTAGTATCTGTTCTCACTTTGTTTCCTCGTGGTCGCCCGAGAACCGCTTCTATGCTTGTGCTTTTCTGGATGGTGCGTGCGTTCTGTACAGCGTGGGGGAATGTTGCAGTGGAGAGCACTCTCTCTCTCTCTCTCTTCGATCTCGTATTCTCGTGTTCAAATCACCGGTGTGAACGTTGTTGGAGCCACCGAGCTTCCGTCGGGTTGTCCCGGCAAGATCCTTCGTTAGAAAAGCGCTATGTACACTATGTACAGAGTCCTACCAGAGGACAGGAACCTTTTAGACGATCATCGAGCGAACGGCTGACTTAGAGGCGGAGCTTTTTAGGTTCCCTGAAGTGATCAGGATACGCGTGCAGTCCCCCCGACCGCGAGCACTCGTGTTTGATGTCTTGATTGTGAAGTACTTTATACATACTATTCTTCTGCAACAGAGCAACCAAACGAACACGTGATACACCCGTCTGTGAAATCGACCGTCCCGTTCAAAGGTGTACTTTCGTTCCCGTCGTCGACCCTCGTCTTCTTGCTGTCGACCGTCAACCCTCGTTTCCCATCGATTAAGAAAGCTATGTATAAGAACGTGCAGGAATATGTACAAATGAAACGATGAACGAATGTGTCCACACGAATGTCGTTCTTATCACAGCTATTCGTTCTCGGAGAAGGAACTTCCGAGCCTCGTCTTTTCGACTGTCCCGTCAACGCGACGCAAGGGTAAGGAAAATCGAGTTGGCAGAGCTCGATTATGCTCGCTGCATCGGGTGACGCGAAGAGGAATCGCGAAATTTCGAGACGAAACCTTCTGGCAGCGATTCCGCGGTCTCGGAGAAGGAACTTCCGAGCCTCGTCTTTTCGACTGTTCCGTCAACGCGACGCAAAGGTAGGGAAAATCGAGTTGGCAGAGCTCGGTTATGCTCGCTGCATCGGGCGACGCGAAGAGGAATCGCGAAATTTCGAGACGAAACCTTCTGGCAGCGATTCCGCGGTCTCGGAGACGTTGGTAAGTGTCGGTGTCGGTGTCTCCGGACGAGAACCAGCCAAAGTTCAATGACCGGTTTATGCTCTTTCGGTTCGGCGATTGCAAGGAGAGATCGTTTTTATCGGCCGCAGCGACGATTCTAAACGCGAACGACGACAAATCAACCAAAATCAACTACGGTGACGTAACTTCGCGACCAGTCGAAACACGTCTAGGACAGCTAATCGCCTGTGCGTTACACAATCACTTTTCTTTTCCCACGGTCGATTTCCATGTTGCACGAGTCCGCGCGTCCGATGCGTCGCCGCGTTTCTGACGTTCGACGGCGAACACGCGTGGGCAGACGTGCTCGGGTCGATCCCGCGCGAAAATAGAACGCGCTTACAGGCAAGATTGGAAAGTGGCCAGAGTCGGAGCGATTATTTTTCGGCAGGCTATTCGAACCGTACTTTATGCGAACCGGCGAGATTATCGGTCGCTATCGGCGCGAGACGCGTGCGGGACATTGACATTCGCGGTTCAAGGTTCTTCCGGCTCTTCGCGGTCCCCGGTATCTTCGGAGATAGCCGATCTTGAGACGCGCGTTGGAGATACGGCGGATCGAAAAACTATCGTTAACCACCGCTTCGCTCCGATAATTCTGTGAAACGAAATGTTATGTTACGTTACGTAACGCCGCTGTTTATTTTGGCAATTTGTAATCTCGAACACGCAGAAGTCGATGTACTTCTAGTCGCCGCTTGGAAACGTTGATCGAAGAACCCTTTCAAGACCTACATACTTTCAAGCGCCTATCTGCCTATCCACCGATACGCACGCATGTGCCAATAGTTTTTTGACACGGTGTATATCCGTGGCCCGTTATTTCGGTCTCAAGGCTATTTTCGCGCGAGACAATGTAAAATTATCACGTGGGGCAAAAGCCTCCGACGACGGTTCGATCAAATACCAAGTTGCGGTCGCGATCGCCTCCTACGATGATCTATAATTGTTAAATGTCGACCTTTGGTATCCTATAAATTTCGTTCGGTATCGCACATTTTCTACGAATAATATTGCGACACGTGCTCGCTGCTCCGAACGACGGACAGAGAAAGACAACGTCCCCTCGGGCGATTAGGACAAAGTCTGTCCCGCTTTTAGACCGTCCAACCCGCTTGTTCTTCGTCGCGGCGGAAAGAATCTCAAATTCGTTGTTTTTTGGGACGCGGAGAGAGTTTGATACCGTTGAGAAATCGCCCCCCCCCCCCTCCCACGGGCGACGGCAAGATTCGGGATTCGCGAGCCTCCGAGCGTTTGAAAAATAAAAATCCGCTACGCCGCAAAACGAAAGCCGGGAAGAACGAAAGCGTAAACGCTCTGAGAACCGCTTGCCACAACCTTCGGCCGCCGATTTCTATTATAAAGTTCGATTCTACTCGTGCCGCGGATTTCCCCCGTGGAGAACGCGCAACGTTGGCGCGTTATTTTGCGGCAGTTCGGCATCGCCAACAATGCGATCGATTGCGAATTTTCAGCCATGCGCCTGCAACGCTGCACTCCGTGCACCGTGTGCAACAATTGCAATGTATGTGTTTCAGCGGACACTGCTTGCTGAAGAAATCGGACCGAGACTCTGAGATCTATTACGATTTTACGGTTCTTCATCGCCGCGCCGGTTAACGATGACACGTTAAAACCGGCTTGTCGATTAACCCCTTAACTTGTACGCTCGAGTTAATTCGAACGCGCTAAACTGGCCAAACTGTGCACACTCGGGATAATTCGAGCGGCGTTGTATTTTATGCTGCTACAATTTTTCACGCTCGAATATAATCGAGAATTGAATATAACAATGTGAAAGCAAAGAAAAAAAATCGTTTTATTGATATTTATCATTTACATGGGATTGTAAGCTATAACACTTATTTATTCAAGAATAAACAACTTTTTCTATGGAACAAAAGCGTGGTATATCAAAATTCTTCAAAAATTCTTCAAAAAATTAATTTTTTTTGGCCGGTTTTTTTCAAAATAAACTGTGCGTTAAGGAGTTAACCAGTTAAGTGTGCTTGACGACATATCCGTCATGGAGATGCGGCAGAATTTTGTGTCACGACGATTATATCCGTCGTTCGTAAAATTTTGTTACAATTTGATATTTAAATTGTAATTCTGGTGAAAACTAAATTATATTCGTAAATTTTAACACTTAGCCAACCGAATGGGGAGATTTCCCCGTTTTAAATTCAGTCGATTGATGACCGAATGGATGATTAACAAAAGATTAAGAACGATTGCTTAATTTAATTAAGATTTACAAGAGGTACGAATGCTGAAGAAGTCAATTGATGTCATATAAGTTTGCTTCGTAATTTTGCGTTTAATCGAATGAAATATTTTAATTTTATACAAATTTTTGAGGTTTCTAGCGCGGTCGTTGAAGTGTTAAAATATTAAAAATGTTTAGAGGTCAAGACGAAATGAAACAAACGAATGAAAATTATGAATAATTTGCGTTGGATTCGTCGCTTGATCGTTCGATTCATTGCCCGTCGTCGCTTGATTATCGCGACACACACTGGTGGGCGATTTGCAAAGAGATCGCCACAGTTAACTGGTTAATTCTATGATCCGACGATATTGGATAAAAATTATGTAGAAGAAAATCGTAGAAGAATTTGCGCCAAGATGGCGAAACTAGCTCATAGGCGTTGTCCTCTCGCGTTGAATGTTTACGAGGGAACACCGACTCGCGATGTTAGATTTGCGAAACAAGATGTCACGGACATTTCAATCGCCTTTCTAACAATCCCCGGCGGACCTTCGTGAAACGCCATTATCCTTGCGCAGGAGTATGCAGTCGCCGGTAAGGTGCGACTATATTGATTATCCTCGACGCGGACTGGATGCAGCGTGCAGCGAAAATATTTCAACGACCTTTTCTTCCGTAGGGAATCCGATGTTTCGCGATTCTTTGTTACGGGTTCGACGCGAAAGAAAGTTTTTGAGTGCCGAATGTTAATCCGCTCTCTTCTTAACCAGTTAAGCGCGTTTGTCGTGTATACACGTCAAACCAAATATCTCTATTACGGTGCGTTCGACGTGTTTACTCGTCGTTGTGTCTTTCTTGTTTATGTATTTGATTGTTATTTGAGAATTTCTAAGTTTACAATAACAATAACTTTTCAGAAATAAATTGTTTAGTTTTTCTTAAATAAACATGTAGTTCTTCTTCGTTTTTCATCAAATTTGTAATAGGACCATTTCGCCCTGCGTTCGTCGTGTATACACATAATCGCTTGATTTTAATTCTGCACACTGTAAAGGCTTTTTGACACTAAATTCGACGCTTAACTGGTTAAACTAGTCTCCTTTTAAAGAGAAAATAACGAATGTTCGTGTTGACGAGAACAAAACGGAGCTGCCGAGAGGAGGACGACGACTATTTGAGAATTTCTAAGTTTATAATAACAACAACTTTTCAGAAATAAATTGTCTAGTTTTTCTTAAATAAAAATTAGTTCTTCTTCATTTTTCATCAAATTTGTAATAGAACCATTTCGCCCTGCATTCGTCGTGTATACACATAATCGCTTGATTTTAATTCCGCACACTGTAAGGGCTTTTTAACACTAAATTCGACGCTTAACTGGTGAAACTAGTCTCCTTTTAAAGAGAAAATAACGAATGTTCGTGTTGACGACAACAAAGCGGAGCTACCGAGAGGAGGACGACGGCTATATTGTCGAATCGATGGGACCGGTTCGGTGCGTATGCGCTGCAGCAATGGGGGCCGCGGGCACACAATATGCACTCCGGCTGATACATTGAAACTTAAATTCCTCCGAGACATCAGCGTCAGCCGAAAGTATCGCATTTCGCGCTTACACCACGACGCTTCTGTTCCTTTATGCAGAAACGCGCCTAATGTTCCCGCATTTCAGTTAATTCACGTGTTTCGCATCCACCGGAAGCAAGCGCGGTGCCGAGTATCGAACGTTCGATTCGCTTGACGCCAGCCGATGATGGAATATTCAGGAATGACAGAAAAAGGTGAAACTGGAAATGTCAACACGTTCGACGCTGTCTCGGCGGAACGAATAATTCAAATCCTAAACACTATCGACCAATGTCAGGGTCGTTTCGAGCTGTTCGATGCGAAAAGAATTTTGTCCCGGTTCGACATAGAATTATCGAAGATTTTCTCTCTGAAAAATCGCACAGTGCACATTGCGCGCGTTTCGAAATGACTGTAATCGAGTCACGATATCGTGGAAATTTTCGAAATCGCGGGATGCTTCGATCGGACAGCGGAAACATCGAGGAGGGTGATTATTCGGGGCGAGCTGTGCTCGCGACAAAAAATGGTAAGAACGGTAAAAATGGTAAACGCGCGGTGAACGACGAACACGTGAATGAAATTCGAAGAAACGCGGGGAAACAATGGCCGGTGAATCGAGCTGGATGGAAGAAAATAAAGCGGAGCAGAGCGGAACGGTACTTACCAAGTGTACAGTGAGTGGATAACAACACAACTGGAACAGGTTACTGTGAAAGCACCGTTTATACCGGCACCGCGGCCAATGGCAGCCGGGCACAGTTGAATGCCGCCTATCAGAGGCGGTTTCGTGACGTCAGATTTAGCCAAAGGAAGCTCAGCTTGCGACGGGATCGATAACTCCCAGGAACGTAGTGGCGTGACAACCCTTTGGGTCCGCATACCCTTCGGGGTGGGACATGCAACGGGAGAGGCAACCGCGCAACGCGGTGCAACGTCTGCCGCCCCTATGGAGCAGGGATTCCTCCCCTATAGGTTCCAAAAAGTAGACAGTTGCACATTGTTGCGCAACATAAGCACCAGCTGGACGAACACTATAAGATCTCGACCCTCGTAGACTCCTCGAAAATTATACAAAAGATCCTGCGTTAACGGCATCTTTTTGCTTCGCGCTTTCAATCAAGATATTCCGTTGTACGTGTCTATTAGAAATGCAACTTACCATTCGAGCGTAAAGAAACGGAATATTATTTAGAAACAAAAAGAGAAAAGAACATGTGAATTTTTATTCTGCAGGACAGAATAGGGAGACGCGGATAGAATGAAATAAGATTCAAAATGTAATTCAATGGATACCTCGACGCCCGAATTTTTTTCTCGTAGGTCCTCCAAAGCGTTCAAACAGTTCATACATAATCCCCGAGATAATCGGGGTACGATCCTTCTCGAATGCGCACCGTGCATCGTGTGCATGCGCTATCGAGTCATAGGAAATCGCGGTGGTTCGTCGTGGGAATTTATTTTGCCGCATATTCCGCCGTTTTCCACGCAAACGCGTAGGTCCGACTGAGTAGGCGGATGGCGGTTAACCGTCGCGGGGCGGGACAGGGGTTGGTTTCGAGAAACCGGAAGCTGTTCCGCGAAGTTGCAGCGAATAGGCATCGGGTTGACATAGTTAGCACGCTGTCGTGAACGGAATTAATATTCCAGCGCCTATGTAACTACGATCCGTTGCTCGATTAACTGGAACGTTGATTGTAATCTCTGCTCGGGATCAGACGTCGTTCTACGAGTTTATTTTTCAACGCGAGCGAACAATGAAACGCGGATCATAAGTAGAATTAAGATTGCTCGATAAACGGCTGGGAGATTCACTCGAGATTCTCTTTCGAGATGTTTAGATTATCGACCTCGGCATTTCCAGACACTTGTAATTCCGACACGCGCGATCGGGCCGTCTTATCGAACTACGCATAATACACATTATACACGCATGTATAATGTTCGATTGACGATAGCTTGACTGCGTGGAGTTCGATGTATTTCGATAAGAGTTTATTGGAACGAACACGGTGTTGCTACATGAAAAAAATTGTCACACAGAAAATTGGAAAGAAAAATTTGAAAAAAGAGTTACGTCCTGCAGAGCATTACGTCCAATAATGCTTTCAACGAAGAGAAGAAACAAAAAAAAATCTTGGCCCATGAGGGGATCGAACCCGCGACCTTCGCGTTATTAGCACGACGCTCTAACCAACTGAGCTAATGGGCCAGATACTAAAGCTTTTCAATTTGACGCTGTTCTGGACCATACATTTGCGTATCATACAATATACAAGTATTTTTAAAACAATTACATGTATTGATAAAGGTTCTGTAGTTAATAGCATGTAGTTAATAACAATTGTTAATAGCATTCAATGCTGACCGAATTATAAGCATGCGAAACGCTTTCGTTGAACTTCGCTCAGTTAATCTTTCTACAATATAATATGAATAGTTTGCAAGTCATTGCATTGGAGGCAATTGATTGGTAATAAACGTGGATCGCATACTATTGAGAAGAATAGACTGTCTGAACTTCGTCGTCTACCCCTTGGACTTTGAGTATGAATAAGGAGTGTCAAATGGAGTTAATAATCTGGCTTGCAATGACAGATACGCTATCGAGAACAATTTGTTAAACGAACGGTGCACTTAGAACTTGCTCAGTCGTGGTTTTATTTTGTTAACGATAGATTGAATGTGTTTGGAAAACAATGCACGAAATCGAAAATGCAATGAACATGAATAAACTCAATTTAATGAATTTACAACAGACGTGTGCTTTAATCGTATGTTAAAACACGATAATATGCAAAAAAAAGAATGGAGTAAGTTTAACTCCTCTGTGAATTTACTTCATGATCGAACAAAAATTTCACGACTTGAAATGGAATAAATGTAAATATCAGCATGTATTTCTCTTTTTTTCAATTAACTTCTATGCAGTGCCAAAACCACGTAGGGGCGAAACGCTTAAACTGTTCGCCAAAATTGAGCCGTTTATTTTGAAAGTGGCATAAGTCACTTTGTTTTTAAGTCGATCACTTTGTTTTTAAGTCGATATCTTTAAGGGTTTGCGTTTTAACACCGTTTAAAAATATGGATGCTAATTTTCGAGAAGATTTACTTGTATTCGTTATCTCAGGATACTGATATTTTTTCTCGGTATAAATAATTTCGTATAAACATTAAAAAATCACCACTTTTCATTACGGTAAAGTGACTTATGCCACTTTCAAAATAAACGGCTCAATTATCTACGAATAATAATTCGAAGGATTTACTATTTCGACACAGATGGCACCACATTGTTATACTACTAGACAAGAGTATCAACAGTTGGTTTTGGTTATTGTCAAAACATGAGTTTACGGGGTGACACTTAACTACCTTAAATTAGCATCTTTTTCGTTTATTCAATGGTATCATTCGAAAGAGAAAGGTTTAATGCAGGCTTTATGAGGAATACCCAGGAATATCAATTTCAACAATTTTCAAACAAAATCTTATTCTGTGCCCTAACCTAAAATATAAATCTTCACACTTGATTTAAAAATCATACAATATACAATCGTTACAGTCATATTCTGTACTTTACAGTATTAACACTTTAACGACCGCTCACACAACATGTATGTGATGCTGCCGCCGAAGGTTGTTGGCCAGTACCACACTCTTTGTGTGATAATTTATGAATGTAAACAAGTGTGGATATTGCTATTGGCTTCATATTTCATTGTCACGTCTTTGATTATATTATTATTGCCTATTTGTTTTTTGTTTTATGTTAACTTTTTCGTGAATTTAATAAAGTTCTTTAAAATTAATTCTTCAAAAATACTGCCGGCCCCTGGCGACGTTTGACTGCGTAGACGTGCGGTCGTTAAAGTGTTAAGAAGAATTCCAAGTTTGTAGCTATTAGCTCGCTATCATCCTCGTCTCAAAACTCGTTGCAATTCGCAACATTTTTTAAACCGAGGATGATACCGATTGCTCGGGTCTCATCGCGTGGAGGTTGCTGCTTCAGAGACCCGAAAGGGAGTCAGAACGAAACCGGTATTCGTTATGGCTCCTTTTCTAACAACGACGACTTACTAAACTAATACGCTCGCTAGCTAGCTAGCACACGCATGCACGCACGCACGCACGCATATCCTAGTAATTATTGCGGACAAAATGTGGATCAAAGATGAAGTCTCCGAGCCACGAGGATTAAAATGAATCAGAGCAGAAGACTCTGGCAATCGAATTTCTTTTGTTAATAAATTTACTATTTCTCGCTTCTTAATATTAATAACAATTCTGTTTGTTAGAAGTATATTCAAGCATCCCTTTGGCTATTTTGGCATTTAATTTGTTAGTGAAAATAACCGATAGAATCAGACATATGGAGTAATTTTTCGAGCACGAATATTTTGTGAGAAATTGTTGCAGCAGACGAGCTTCGTTAATAAATTGATTGCTTTTCGATGTTTAATATTTGCGAGAACTCTTCTTGCTAATAATTCTTGTTATTAAATACTCCGGTGGCTAATTCGTCGTATCACTTCGTAACGGAAGTAATTAATAACGTCAAACGTACAAAGTGATTTTTAAAGCACGAATTTATCGAAGAATCGTTACATCGAAAATATTCTATCGATACACACATTTATTATTTCTAGCTGTTTAATAATAATGTAGAGATAGTATAAATGATAAACTTTTCACATGATTTTGAAATATTTTTGATTTCAAAATGAAGCTGTCGTAACGTGTGATTTTCCAGCTTTAATTCACCAACGAGAATTAATCAACCTGAAATTATTCTTTCAGATCCTTTCTTGTGGAAGCCGCCACAAGAATGAATCTTGTCCCGCCATCTTTCGACGAATTGCCGAGCAACTTTCATTTTATGATAAAAGATAAAATCCAATCGGATCATAGAGTTGTTGTTGCATCAGGTATCCTTGCAATCGTCCGATATGTATACGAGCGATTTACAAAGAGACGTGAGTTAGATAACTGAAGAAGAAAACAGTGTTTCTTAGAAGGGACATCTTCAAGATAATATGTGAATTGTACCAACACGGTAACTAACTGCGAATGAATTTGGCATTCGGAGTACGTAAACTGATCATAACCTGCATGTTAATATTTTGTTCAGATGTTTTGCTTGAAATATATGAGAAGCGTTAAGCACCCTCCGTTACTGAACTTTCTGTCGAGGAATCGTTATTCCCGACGAAGTGATAAGAACACGAGCACGTACAAAGTGGTTAAAACGGACGGTGAAAATATAGATGGTAAATTATTATCAGTTCTACTATCATGTAATAGGGGCTGGGTCATTTCTGACCTAGACTGTCATATACTTTGTTTAATTTTTTAAATCTATAGTTATGCGTGTAAGGCATACGCTGAGAAAACTATGAATTCTGAAAAATCACAGCTGTCCATGTACCCTTTGTACTCTTATAGGCGGCAACTTAAGATCTTTACAATGCAAATCCCTTTCATAGTTTGTTGGTTTTAGATATGGATGAAACTGTTCTTGATATAAATTCCAATTGGGAGTTGCTGACACCTAGAGGTTTTCGTTTTTACCTGCCAGGCAGCGTAGGTCCTGGTTGGTCCGATGTAACGACTACTGCACAGGTCAGAACACAATTGTTAGACATCTCGAACAGCAAGAATAACAACAATAGTGAACAAGCTACGATTGAATGGACGGATGTGCGACCGACACTCCATTGCACAGCTCAAGAATGCCCATTGTTGCTAAGAAAAGGTATAGAAGAACTTTTTCCTGGATGTATAGACGTTGGCAGCCCGCAGCTCACGATAATTACTATTTATCAAAAAACTGATAATAAAACCTCTAGATGGAGCAAAGAAGCGGAAACCGAGAAACTTGCTAAATACGTGAGTGCTTCGACAAGATTCGTATGGCAATTGAGAGATGGGAAAAAGATTGCTCGCATTATCTATCACAATTAATTTAAATCAGACGTTTTCTTATCCTTTCGGTAGTTCGTACTGGCCGCGTACGACATTTGTTCCAAGCTGAAAATGATCGGATACTGGGCCGATTTCATTAATCCCTTCAGCGGAAAGCCCCACCTGAACTTGCAAAAGAAGAACACCTTGTACAAGACGGACGAGCGCTTTCGTTGCTTAGGATTTAAAATAGTGCATAGGAGAAATTGTAAAATTATTTTACATGATGATAATCATAAAAACCTTATAGGTGAGTGGAGTATTTTAAGATTTATTGGTAATAAGAGACGAAACCGCAATATCTGTGTACATTGCAGGAAGTCTCTACACTACGGCGCCAGCGAGTACGGCATTTTTAAAGGAGATATTACGCGATTGCGAGCACGCGGATCTTCGCGATTCTTAATTAATCGTGAGCAAAGAGTGTCAATAGAGTGTGGTTGTGTTTAATCGAAAGACGATCTTTTGTTCACCACGAATACAAGACAACTTTCTCCGCAATCCTGTATAAAAAACTTGAACAGAAATAATATCATTAGAAATTATATCAAGAGTCGGCATTTTTCCATTTCTGTATGAATAATTCCGCTCGCTCTCTCTATATTTCACTCTTTCTATCGCTCTTTCCAACGCTAATACTTACACATAATTAATTATTCTATGATGCGTATATTGTAGGTAACTAATACCACCGACAGGAGAAACGTATCATACTTTTCGTATGCGTTCGTAATCTAAGCGATGCAAAATGGTCTATCGGTACGAACTCTCCGTCTCGTGACTGGCAATGAGATTGCGAGCGTACCACGCGAGTGTAATACATATCTAACTATAATGTAGGATCCCGACCAGGCCCGGACAGGATATAGAATAGAAGAGAAGACTGTCAGTCGACCTCCAATTTCCTAAATGACCCGGGTATGCCGTTCAAATTATCATTGATGGGGAACCGACAATCTCCCGATGAAATATCTATGTGCATGTCGTCGAGTGCCTTTATTTGGTCCCGTTGGGTTCTCAGCGTCTTCTTGAACTCGGCTGCAACGAAACAATGAGGCATTATTTTGTTAATTCTCAAAAATCGGACCGTAGAAGCCTACAAGCGTACCGATCATTTCGGAAAGCGGAACCTCTCCCCCATACTCCTTCGGCAGGATTTTGGGATCGATCGCCTCCTTCAGTTCTTCCAGGTTCTTGTGCACCTAATCGGAACGGAAACGACAGGATGGGAGAATTTCGGACTACCCGCAGACAGAATTCAAATATACGTACCGAGATACGGGCCTTCAGCTTGTCATTGAGAAGCGAAATAGCAAACTCAATGATCTTGTTTGCGCAGCTCGGAATATTAACGAAGTGCGTCTCCTTGTGTCTCATGGGTGTGCTGTTCTGAATGCACCGCAGCATGTTGCGTATGTCCGTGAGAGACCAGGCGCTCAGGTGGCCCATGGTTAGACCGGACTCGTCGTTGACATGGGTATACCCGCGGATTTGATTCTCTTCGTCGTCCATCAGAGCCTCGACCACCAGACTATGCGCTCGCGCCATTTGCGCGGACGTGTATTTATAAGGATCGAAACGACCTTGAACGGAGAGGAAACAGGTAAGGGATAACACGGAGATGGTCCGATAGACGAGAGGAGAACCTGACAATATTTACCAGCGCAGGAGAGTATAACCCGGCGACCGTGTCGATCCCGCTCCGGAAGAGGAACCAGGTAACCAGCGTCCACGATGGCCTCGATATCCGGGTCTTCGATGTCCAGATTTTGAAACCAGTTCGGGTACACTTGTCTGATGGTCAGATACCGTTCGAGCATCTCTTGCGCCATCGGCAGGCTGAACTTCTTGGTCCTGAGAAATCTGAGGAGGAAGGCCGCGTCGGTTCTGCACCGTTTGATATTCGGGTGCTTCAAGATCCACTGCCTGAACTGGTCCAATGCCTGCTGTCTGATAATTTCATCCTCGCGGAGCTCGACGCTGGCGATCAGCTTGGTCGACTCGGTCAGCGGCTGGCCGTAGTCTTCTTCCGGCGTGTTAGCCATCGCGGTCACGTTTCTTGGGACACCAGCCGATCACTGTCGTTCGAGTATCCTAAGGATCGGCCGCGCTCCGCGTTACCAGCCCCTCTTGCCCCGTTATTGGCGCCGCGCGTCCTCGTTTTAGTCCTCGTTCGAATTTCAAGCGAGCCTCCGAACGGTTACGAGACCCGACGAGTGTCTTACGCCATTCCACGATTCGTCGTCCAAGAGAAAGTCCGGCACCGATCCACGCGCGGGAGAACAGTTGTCCTCGCGGTTCTCCGGCGCGCTTTCTATTGCACGCGCGCGCGCGCGCGCGCACAAGCCAGCTCCGATCTTCTTGTTGCCGTTCTCCTCTCGGGTCCCGTTAGTCTCGAACGACACTCAAAATTCTTCCCCGGTCTTCCAATCTCGATAATTTTTTAGAGCACCGAATGCAATACGTTTCATTTGCGAAGCAATCGCAACCTAGCGTCCAACGCGCGACACCGTATGGAAGAGCCTAATCATGCGTTAATTTTCTCTAAACGGTTTCGCAATCTGTTATGAAAAGAGAGAGAGAGGAAGGGAGAGACGATGCTATTTTAGCCGCGATCACACAGTTTCCAAAATGAAATGTCCTGTACCCGGACGTTGCACCTTCCCGACCGATCTGGACTCGAGTAACCCGCCCGCTTGTTTGCACGATCAATTTAAGGCGTCGCTCTTTCCACTCTTACCGCCGTTACTCCCATCGTTGCCGCCTCGTTGCACGTTCTCCTCCAGTTTCCCTTCCGCTTCTGCGTCGGATCGCCTCGATCCCGATCTCGATCTAGCTCCTTCGCTGCCCCCAGTCCACCCGCCCACGCGCAGCCAGCCTTCCGCACCGAGTGGTCCCAGGTACTCCAATTCCGAAAACAATCGTCCCTCTCCCTCCGATCAGGGTCCAATCTTTATCTTTCTCTCTCTCTCACTCTCTTTTTCTAGGTCTCCCCGCCAATTCTGATCGGCAGATTTCCACGCGGGTGTTCGTTTCACGAGAATCGCAACAGTGGCCGTTCGAAGATTCACTTTCTTCTCGTAATCCTACGGGTCACTTTCACCGTGGCTCCACTTTCGGTCGCTTCGCTTCGCATCGAGACGGTATCTCCGTTTTTTCGTTGCCTTCCAAGTGGAAGGGACCTTGGACCAAAACCTTGCCCGTATCGAAACATCGCCGAGAAACGACGGCTCCTCGACCAGGGAGAAAAAACATGCGTTCGTGTATGTAGGTTCTCTCGCCGAATTATCTCCTCGTCAACCAGGTTTTTGTCGGGCGAGCACTCGTCACACCGTTTGAACGCGTTAAACGCTTCCGCCACGGTCGACGGTTGCGCGTTACACGCGATCAACGTTTCTTTACGTACGCTCGATTGCGCAACCGATCGTGTGTCACGGCGTTTCTCGTCTCGGTGAAAGTTGCGCTTCAGTTGCACCCGAGATCTCGGACCTTTCTACTTGCCCGTGGCATGCACCCTCTTGTGTACCGCGTCGCTGCGTGTTCGCTTTCTCGAGCTTATTCCCGCACCGAATCAGCGTTTCATGAAACGCCGTTTACTAATTCGTCGATCTTACGGACACGACGCGTTCCTGGTTCGTAAGCTCCCTTCTTATGCTCGACTGCGAAATTTTCTTTGACTCGCCTCTGTTAGAGAAATGAAATAGTAACGACCTAGGAACTAAGAGCGCAACGAATCAATTCCGGCGAAGAAAAATAAAGAGAGTAAGAAAATATCGTCGCACGTGATTCAATTGCCCGAGTGGGCGTGGTCTCGCTACTCGTCTCAGATTTTCTGGAGCCAGAGCAGTGCCCCACGAGATAATGCTATTATTTCTAAGCAACGATCGGCTCTGCGCGTCCTTCGCGCAACGATCGTCAGCGTGTCGTAACCGCTCGCGGAAATGGTCGGAGGGACCTTCGTGCGGGTGCGAGGAAGACAGGTGAATGAAACACGAACAAACACATTGACTTTCCTTTTGAACAACATGTAATTAGCAATACAACGTGGAAAATAACGTCGGACGAAATGGGGACGAGGCGATTCGTTGGACGTGACCGACGATCGTGTCTATTCGACTGTTCTGGGCGAAACATCGAGAGTCCAATGGTTATGTCACTACGGATATAGCCTCGGGAGACAGAACGTGCGATCAGTTTCTGTACAATACGCGCGCATCTATGTATATATTTGGGAATCGTTGAACGGCATGAACGGGTTGCTGCGACGAAGGGAGGAGAAGCAACGCTCGCGTCTCTGCTCGCTTCTCAGCTATCCCGTTTCATGCCGTTCTCCCGGACACGGGGATCGCGACGATCGACGGAATCATCTGAGGATCACGTTGTCGAACGTCAGATCTCGGCTGTCGCGTTGCGCGCTCGACTTTTTGAACGGGTTCCACGGTAACTTTTTAGCCACGTGGGCGGTAGTGACGGAGCCAGCGGGGCTCGGCTGGCCGGAGGAGACACCGGAAGAGCTGCTCGCGGAAACGCTTCCCTTGTCCTGTTGATTGGCCTTGCCCGGCCTCTGGAACGAGTAAGACTCGTTAGTCGGGTGACGTCCTCGGGGCAGTGGTCACTGTTGCTCACCTTCAAATAGTTTCTGTCCATCGGCGTGACGAGCTTCAAGTTGATGAAGTCGCCCGACTGTTTGATCAGATGCACGACTTGGTCGTGGGACGCCCACTTGACGTCTTTGTCGCCGATGCCGACTATAAAATCACCCTCTTTCATTCCGCCCAACTGCAAAACGACGGAGTAAAGCGACCGTTTCGTTTACAGAGAAAGGCGAAACTTGTGTCAGCGATGCTTACATCGGCCAGGGAATTGTGATCGACGGCCGCTACGATTACGGGAGCATCGCCCCGGACGCTGAAGCCGAATCCTTCCCCATCCGGGCCTCTTTGAAGTTGTATCAGTCGCGGAGCGGTCCAGTGCCTCTTGGCCGAAAATATGGCTACAGGGCCCAGTGATCTGAACAGGTCGTCCACACCATGCTGCCCGAAATCCGGATGCGTGATATTCAGTTGAAATTTGGTGGAGGCTGTACGCAAACAAGGGAACAATGTATCGAGAACGACCAAGGACAAAGTTGTCGTTAACTATTCGATCCTTACCGACGATATCTGGAGGATCCAGCAGTCCCCGGAAGTCCTCTTCGTCTCCAATGCCGTTATAGCTCTCGACAGTAGACTCCTGCACCGCTTTCAAAACTTTGGCGAGCGCTTGCTTCGCTTTCAGGTCTCTGCACATCCTTTGCAACCTCTGGCTCTCTTCGTGGAGGACCAACGCCTCTCTGAGATGCGCTTTACCTGAAACCGGCGATCAGTATAATGTCGGCTTCAGAAATTTAACCCTAAATCTATCGAGCCGGTCAAAACGACCGGGTTTGCAACTTATGTTTTAAAGTCGCTGAAATTATGAAGACCCTTTCATCGAAAATGCTTGGAACATTCTAATGTTCTAAATAAATACAGTCTTTTTGTCATTATACAACTTTTGGGCCGACTAGGTTTAGTATTACATAAGGAAATACTATGATACATACCTAGTATTTTCCTTTCGTTTTCGTCGCGCGGTATGCTGGCGTCCAGCTGTGTTTTGCCGTCGCTTTTCTGAGCGTGTTCGAGCGCGATCTTCGTCTCCGCTCGCCACTCGGCTATCGGCCGTTCGAACAGGCCAAGCGCAAGATGCTTGTGAGCTAGTGCCAGGTGATGTTCACGTTTCACCAGGATCAGCGAGATCCAGGTTTCTGGAACGTAGTCTCGGACTGGCTCCCGTGAAATCAGCCCGTGGACGTCATTGTAGACCGCAGCTACCTGTAAAATAGGTTTGTTAAATAAGAACGCTCGGGCTAACGCAGGATTTATGCGATCGTATAAATATAATAAATATATAATATATATTAAATAAATATATAATAAAAATAATATATATATAATAATAATAATATATAATATATATATTAAATAAATATATAATATTATAAATATATAAACATCGTTATACGCGATCGCTGAACATCAGCATCTGTTACCTGCGACGCTTCCTGCGCCAGGTCCAAGGAAACGTCCACGTTCCTCCCCTCGGCAGATTGTAGCTCCAGCTTCTCGAACAAGCACTCTCTCGCTTGGGCCTGCAAAAGGAAAATGTATCGATCGGTTCTTCCGCGATTTCATCATTATTATCAGCCGATTGCGACAACGATCGTTACCAGCATCAATTGGACAAGCATCTCGAGCATATCCGGTCCAAGGTCCATGCTCGGGGCGTTCGTGAAGTTCTCATGAATGTAGCGGAAGGTACCAGCGGCCCTGAGAAATGCGTCGATCGCCTGATCCAAGCCCCTGGCCGATCGACGATCCTGCTTCGCTGCCAGCTGGGTGTACAACGCTCCGGCATTGAAAAGCACCGAGGCCTTCTCGAACGCGACCGTTCGCTGACAGCTTGGTACTCCTGTCAGGGAATCGAACCACTCGAAATAGATCCCCAAGCTGCGATCAGGTGGGAAGAATCGTCGCTCGACGAAGTACAGTTGGTTGTAATAGCGGAGCAACAGTGCGATGCCAGCTGTGTCCCTCGTTGGTGTTCGAGTTGCCTAAAAAAAGACGCGTTGCCGTTGGTAAATTTGGATCTCGAATCGATCTCGACAGCGTCTAAATTTGCTCACCTGTCTGGTCTCCATGAGATCCGCGATGGCTTCCTCGTATTTTCCTCCATCTTCGCTATAGTGCTCGAGAATGAAGTCCTGAAAAGGGAGCGCGTCGAGAACACAGACGAAATTGTTAGGTCGATAGTCGGGCGCCTGGCAACCGTGAATAGGTTTTCGGTAGGAGTCGATCGCGTTCGCTGGAAAATTGGGGACACGTCCGAGGCAGACATGACCGGAATCACGCTCGATCTCATACGAAAACGGTCCGAGCACAACGAGGGCGAGATCAGCACGTTGGAGGAAATCGCTTTGCACCAGGAGAACATCGACAAGATCGAGCTGCTCGATCGCGTGTGCAGACACTTGAAGATCCTGCTGCTGCAGAACAACCTAATCGCTAGGATCGAGAACCTGAGCCGATTGAAGCGGCTGGAGTACCTGAACCTGGCGTTGAACAACATAGAAGCGATCGAGAACCTGGAGGGCCTGGAGAGTCTGAAGAAGCTGGACCTGACCGTCAATTTTATCGGCGATCTACGCGGTGTCCGGAAGCTGAGGTAAAACGCGAAACGCTGAAACCGAGGTTCGCTTGAACAGTATCGGTGTTCTGTGGGCAGATGCAACGAGAACTTGGAGCAACTGTTCCTGGTGGGAAATCCCTGTACGGACTACGACGGGTACAGGGCTTACACGATTGCCACGCTGCCGCAGTTGAAGGAGCTGGATGGGACAGCGATCGAGAGGTCCGAGCGCATCAAGGCGCTGCAACTGTATGCCAGGATCGAGGGAGAGATCATCAGAAGTTACCGCGAGTACAAACGAATCAGGGAAGAAGAGAGAATCCGCGGAAACGCGAAAGTGGAGGCCGTTAGGACCAGGAGCGACAGCGAAAGCGAAGAGGAGAACGATCGCTTTTGGAAGCAAGTCAGCCGCCACACGCCGGAGGAGCGTGTGATCATAGCCGAGCGAACATTGCGGAAGGAAGAACGAAGGAACAAACGCGCTAATCAGGACGAGCGGATCGTTTACACGCCGAAACTGTTCAGTCCCGAAGGAAGGCCTTACAACATGAACCAGCCAAAGATTCCCTTTACGTTGAACACCGAAGAACGCGACGCTGTCGTTTTAGAGGTCCAGGTGTACAGGTACGTGGAAGTTCTGTCGATGCTGTACCCGTTGCACGATGCATGGAAAAAAACCTGTCGATTTTCAGATTCCTGGATACAGACTACGTCGACGTGGACGTGCAGCCCGAGTACGTTCGAGTGACGATCAAAGGGAAGATCCTGCAGCTGACTCTGCCCTGCGAGGTGTCGGTGGAAGGTAGCAAGGCCGTGAGAAACTCGACGAACGGTAAGTTGGTGGTGACGATGCCGCGACTCGCGCCCTTGCCTGTCATAGGCAAAAGAAATCCGGACAGAAACGAGAAGAAGGTTGTCGACGAGAGTGTACCGCGACAACGATCGTCGACGACGGTGCGAGAATACTTGGAGATCGGTCCGGCCACCGACGATATTGATTTCTCGAGGATCGTCTGTCCCGAGCAGAGGAAAACGACTCCGGTGGATACCGATCTGGGAACCGAGTGCAACGATTGGGACAATCCGGACGTTCCACCTCTGGAGTAGCGTGCCGAGACTCGCTCACCTTGAACGGATCCCGGAAGTCGATATCTTTGGTTTCCTTTAGTCCCAGGGGTATCATCGGCATCGCGGGTTCCACGCTGGAAACAAGCGAAATGCGACGTGAGATGCTCGTCACGGACTCGGGAGCCCGGTCGATCGAGTTCCTACACCAACCTGTCGACATTCTGGTAGAGTTCCACCGAGCTATTCAGCTCGGCGAGCTGCTCCTTCAACAGCTGCAGGTTCGAGTTCACGAAGCTCAGCTCCAGAGCCACGGTTTCCCGGAGCTTCCTGTTTGTAGTCGCCCTGAAACGGGAACCAGCCATGAGTACACTCGCTCGAAAGATCGGAACGGTCTCGCAGGCTCGTCGTCTCGGGTCTCTTACTTGAACAGATTTTCCGCGCCAGCTCGAAGCCGCAGCTCCTTGTTGATCTCCTGGTTGAGCTTGCTTCGTTTATTCTGCAATTTTCCCCGGCAAGTGGCAACCCGTGGATCGGAGCCCTGTGCAAAACGATCGTGGTTAGAAGGAGCGATCCCTTAGCGTGGCTGGGTACGCGCTCGAATCGAAAGAGAGGAGCTGGACACGGCGTCGACGAAATTACGGAAGGGAAACGACGCGCGCGTGCCGATCGGACCGCGACCGGAAGGTAAAGAAAGGCAACCGTCCGTGGGGACACCGTGCACGCTAGGTCGAGCAAGTTCCTTCCGGATCTCCGATACCGGTTCCCGCGTTTGTCCTCACCCCCAGAGATTTTCTCGTCGACGAGGATTCTCGGATAATCTCTAGGTCCTCCGATCGAGACGGTTTATCGATGCGCGAAAATGGCGATGGCGGCTGCGACGACGAGGACGAGGACGAAGACGACGAAGACGACGACGACGACGACGACGACGCATTTCCACAGTCCGTCCTCCTCTTCTCCCGTCCGTCCAGTGGAAGGCTCGTCGGGGACGCGCGATTCTTCGACAGAGGCGCGTAACAAGTCCACTTCAACATAGTACTCGGTCCCGCAGCCGCATCGTTTCGCCTCTATGCCTTGTCCGCTCGGAACTGCGAATCGGAAAGTCGCTTTTTCGTTGATCGAGGGCGAGTGCGTGACCAAGTACAAACGGAAACGGGGGACTGGAACGAAGCAGCGACGAGGTAGAAGGGTTCGGGGTGACACAAAGGAACGGAGGAACACGGGGAACCCTGCTGCGCTTCGAAGACAGCGTCGGTTGTGTCACCGTGACCGTGTTTCGATCGGGCACTGGTCCTGCGATTCTTCGCGGCACTCCGAGACGCATACGAGGCGAAACGCAAACGCGATTCGTTCGGCGTTCGTGATCCACCGTTTCCACCGTGTGCTCCGACTCTTCTGCTGGTCGATCAATTACGAGGAATCGACGCGCTGGACGGTGGAGGATCGGCCGGCAGGCCGGTCGTTCGCCGATGATTTTCGAGATTACCGTTTAGCGACCGACGACCACGGGAGATCTCTCTCGCGCGCAACACCATTCCGTGGCCGAGGGGAGGCCGAGGGGGATCCCAGCGGCGAGTTGGACCGATTCCGCGGGGCCAGCCGACTCTCGGTGAAAGGAGAGAAACGTCGCGGGGCCCCACGGTGGGGCGAAGGATAAGGAACGCTTTATTTGCTCCGGCAACGCGAGGCATCCGCGTATCGCGGATATTTGAAGGTCGGCGGCTGCGGGGCCCGTCGATCGGGCCCCGCGTCTCGGCGCCCGTCGGTCCGAAATCCACGGTCCGGCGCGCTCGGACATGGAAACCGACGCGGTTGGAATGGACGACGGAGGGAGAGCTCGCGGAGCTCCGCGGAGGGAGACCGGACCGATCGCGTTCCGAGGCGAGGAACGAGAAACCGGGACGGAAGCGGAACCGTGGTGTGCGTCGGGAAGAAGCGGGAAACGCGGTCGAAGACCTTCGCGCGAGCAGGTTCCATCCGAACGAGACGATCCGAGGGAACGAGTTCGTGGAGATGTACGCGCTCCGCTAACGGGATCCGGTACGCTCGTATCATCCATTCGCAGTATTATCTCGGCGATCGGTACCGCCGCGGTGATTCGTTATATTTCGTCTATTTGCGAACGGGAGTTATCGCGATCGGATCGAAACGCACCGCGCGGACAACCGGGCACGCTCTACCGGGCCCGTGGCACGCAGCAGCGCGCGTTACAACAGGAAACGGTCCCAACTCCTCGCTCGACCGTTTCAACGTTCTCCTTCGACGCGTCGCCGACGATAACGTACGACGCTCGGTGGAACTTCCCGCGAGCGCGTTCGCGACGACGGAACGCGGCTTCGAGAACCTCTCGAGTTCTGGAAAGGTCGGGACGCGTTGCGAAAGATCGGCGGAGCCATCGTTCGCCGCGATCGCGCGCAATTTACCTGCAACTTTAGATCCGGTAGGATCAACATGGTTCTGGATTCGATCGGTAAATCGTTACTGGACCCGTGACCGTCTAGCGACCGTTCGTCGATCGTCCCGTTTTCGGCCGGGTCTCTAGCAACCTGCGGACACACTCCGGAATCCTGCGTCGAGGAAATCGACGCGTCAAGGAAACGACTCGCTACGGAGAACGGCATTCGTTAGATCCACCAGCCCGGAGCAATCGCGGCCTCGCGATCGCACTCGCGACACATCGATCGGTTCATCGTCCCGGTTACATAGTTTGTCGGGCGAATTACTGGAATCCGCGAGACACAGAGAGAGAGAGAGAGAGAGAGAGAGAAGAGAGACAGTGACGGAGAGAGATTGGGAGAGAGAGAGAGAGAGAGAGAGAGACTGAGCGAGAGAGAAAGACAACGATCTCCGACAGATGGAGAAGACACGCGGGTCGCGGCACTGACAACCGTCGCGAAACAGCGTCGTCGAGTCTCGCAAACGAACGCGAGGCGGGTACACAGTACACGGTATGCCCGACGTTTCCTCTTTCCTCCACGGAGCGTTTCTTTTCTACGGGAAAGCGGAATTCCCAGGGCCGAAGAACGGTGTTGCGTTCGCGTCAAGGAGGGAGAACGCTGGGTCGGAGTGGGAGAGAGAAAGAGAGATAAAAACAGAGAGAGAAAGGAGCAGGAGGAGGAGAAGATCGAACGAGGAGATCCGCGGATCTGGAGTCGACTGTTGTCGATTGACGCGCACCGCGCAGCACGCACCGCGCACAGCGAACACGGCCCAACGGTTGCTCACCTTCCGCGATGAATCTCTCCGGGTTGCCTACCGATCGGGCCCTTCTCGGTCGCGTTCGGTTAGCTTCGCCGCAACCCGACAGACTCCGCCTTTGCTCGGGCCCCGCCGCCGTGCACCGGAGCCGTACCTACGCGTTCGCAGGCCCTAGGCAATGCGAATCGGGCCCGCCGTCTTCTCTTTTTTCCCCTCGAACGTCATCCGTCCTCGCGATCTTAACTTTTTCGCGATTCTTGCATGAATTCTTCGATGGTAGAAAGTCCCCAGCTACAGGCACTCGCTTCGAACCGAATATTCTGTGACTTCGCGATACGATCGTACCAATCGTAACTTGTTTTTTCTTTTTTTTTTTTCAAGAAAGACCTGACCTACACAGGCGGTTACAACGACTGCCCCACCATCGCGGCCGTTCGAGACCGCTGACATTTCGGGGGCGTGGAGCGAGATGGACAGCTGTTGCGACTGGTTGTTAGATCCAGGGTAAAGTTTGTTTTTTCCACGCGAACCAGGCCAAGAATGTGGATAAGAATTATGTCAAGCGATTCGGTTCTCGATAAACTTCGCGAATCGATGAACCGTTCGGATTTGCAATTAGAATCGCGAGCCAGCGCAGGTGCAGATTTTCATCGTCGTCGTCGTCGTTGTCGTCATCCTCGTTTATCACTCCTTTTAATTACCGCCGCCGATTGTTAACACGGAGGCACGACGATCGGATCTCTCGCCGAACACGCGATGAATCGATATTCGATCGCGCATGCACGAACGAGAGAAAGTCGAAATTTGATCTTCTGCGCGTTTCACTCTTCGTCGATCGATAATTCTGGACGCGTGTGTCGGTTCGCTTCCTTTACTTTCTTCCGTAATACATAGTTCCCGCGAGCACAGTTGGCGAGCACGTTGTGTCTCTCGTTCGTTTCGAAACTCTCTCGGCTTCAACCCTTAACGGTCAGGAATTCGATTGCACAATGGGAGAGAGAGAGAGAGAGAGAGAGAGAGAGAGAGAGAGAGAGATTAGATCTCATAAAGTTGTACAAATGTTGACGTTCCTTATCGGGCGGATAAAGCGGCGCATTATTTCCAACCGCGGCTGGCTATTCCCAACCGTAATGGTTTCGATTTCTACGGCACAAGCGTAACACCTTCGGCGGAGGACAAATAAAAGGATGACGGGTCAAACGCGTAAACAGTTGCTACGTCATACCGAGAGGACAGAGAAATTGAAACGTAGAAACCGACGATCGCCGTTCGATCCTCGACGTCGTGGATTTGGGGCAATCCCGCGCAATAAGACAAGGAAGAAAACGAAAGGATTGAACGCGTACACCATTAAATAAGCTGTTCGGGCGACGGTACGAAGCTCGCCGACGTTACTTACCCGAATGAAACGCGGTTTCAGGGTGTCCTCGTCGGCGATGTCTCCCGATACAATGGGAACGTTCATTGTATCGTTGTCATTGTATCGGACGTGCGGCGAAAACGTGTCACCGTTCGTGCACGAAACCATACGCAGCGTCGAAGGCCGATTGACGAACGAGCTCGGGCGGAAAACTCGCGTGTCGAACGGCCGACTATGGGCGGACTGCGAGCGGATCGCGAGCTTATTCGGAGCGGACTACGAGCGGACGATGATCGGTCTCGACATGGGCCGCGGGCCTCGGTTCCAGCGTCGAGTTTCTGTCGCACGGCCGAGAACTCGATGTCGCTCGAACACCGCGCACACCTTTTCCTTGCCGGGCACGAGGTTGGCGGGACGAGCCATCGGTCTGTCCGAAAGGTCTCGTCGAGGTCCCCTGAACGCGACGGACCCGCGCATTCAACCACCAGAGATCAGCCACCGAAACGATCCCGACGAGCCGACGACGTCCCCGTCGCGCCGGTTCGAACACTAAAATGCGCCGAACACGCGTCACTGCCGCATGAAATCTGCCCGCCGATAGGCAACCATACTCTCGCCCAATGCTAGCGACACGCGCCACGCTGCACACACGGCTGTCCCACCGTGGAAGGTACTACCAGGCGACTCGCCTCGACTCGACTGGACTCGAGCCGACGTGACAACCCGCCTGCCTCCGCGCCGATCAACCGTCCTGTCGCAGGTGTGTCGTTCTACAGGGTGCCCGCCTCGATCCGATTGATGGATCACGCATCGATCGCACCGCCACCGCCTGTGGTCCCCGGCTACGTCGAAAGTTGGCAAAATTCGTAATTTCCTCGGAACTTTTCGAGAGTTTCACACGTCGATTCGAAACGATCGATTTCACGTTTTTAGTTCAGAATTGTTGGAGTCGCGAAGACAGCCGCATAGGAAATTACCGAATCGATGTCGTAATACATTTAGTGCTCGGAAGGTTCGGTGTTCAGGATTTTTCAGGTCGCTAATACTTCAGGTCGCTCAAGAGAGAGAGAGAGAGAAAGAGAGAGAAAGAGAGAGAGAGAGAGAGAGAGAGAGAGAGAGAGAGAGAGAGAGAG